TAAAACCACCTTTCCGCCAAGCCCCTTCTTCCCAGACTCAACATCACTCCTGACTCTTACCCCCACCACACCCTGAGTGGCACGGGAGGGTGGGGAAGAGGAGTTGCAGTCAGTCCATTGCAGTTCCTCTCAGCTGCCCCTTCTACCTCACGCTGCTCCCTGATGCTGGGGTCCCTCCACAGGGTATGGTTCTTCAGGAACAGATTCTCCAGCCTGGGTCCCCCCTTGGCTGCAGTTCCTGCCAAGAATACTGCTCCTGAGTGGGCTCCCCTCCATGGGCTGCAGCTTGCTTCAGGGGTACCTGCTGCATCATGGGGTCCTCCGTGAGCTGCGGGTGGATCTCTGCTTCACCAGGGTCCTCCATGGGCTGCCCACAGCCTGCTTCTGCATGGTCTTCACTACAGACTGCAGGAATATACCTGCTGTGGTGCCTGGAGCACCTCCTCCCGCGCCTTCTTCACTGACCTTGGTGTCTGCAGGGCTTTCTCTCACATTTTTCTCACTTCTTCACTCAGAGGTGTTGTGCAGCAGTTTTTACCCTTTCTTAAATATGTTATCACAGAGGTGCCACCAGGACACACAAGCCCTCCATCCAGTCTCCCACACTACCAAAACCTTGCCATGTAAACCCAACACAGGCAGTAATGCTCTCTCAGTTGCCTTCTGGGGAGGTGGGAAGTGATTCAGACCATAATAAAGCATGAAGCAAATAGATAATTCTTCCTCCAGGCTTGGTGTTTGGTGTGGTTTTTGGGGTTTTTTTGTGTGTGTTTAGTGTGTGGCATGTACGGTTCTAATCTTGAAGGCAAATACACACACTGACACAACCTCATGTTTGCTAACTTTTGATGCTCGCTGATAGAAAGATCATAGGGACTTCCTGTGACTTGTCTTGAATATATATATATTTCATATACAGAAGCATTGTTAAAATGGACTCTGATATGAAATCCAGTGCTGCTATATGTGCTCTTCTGATGGTAATTGAAATTCACTTAGAGGCACTACTGAAACTACTGTAATCTGACCTGAGCCTGTTTTCACAGCTCTGGTGTCTAACTCATCCATCCAAGAATCTGGTTTGGATGACAAAATTCAAGAATGGGCATCATCATCATCATCTGGTTGGTTGTTCTTAACTTGCAGTAACATTTAAGGACTTCATCCATAAGCAGACATAACTGAGAACCTTTGCATAGTCTTGAAGCATGCTATCTGAAAATAACTGGGTACAGTGTTGTCTTGCCAGTATTTGTAACTATGGACAATAGTCGTTTAGTCCACATTCCGTCAGATAGGTACCATGTTGCCTTCCATGCTCCAAGGACTCTGCTACATAAACTTTGGGCAAGGTAGGCGACAGTTTTTTGCTTCATTCTTGTGCTTTCTGTAAAAGTGCAGTTGTCTTCACAAGATCACTAGTTGTACCCTCAAAACCCTTACAGACTTTGAAGTACAAAATAGCACTGTTAAATGTCAGCAGCCGCTGGCAGGAGAGGTGTTCCCCATGCATATCACGGGTGTAACATTGCCTTTTCTTCTGTGTCCTCCTGGTCAGTTACTCTAAACAGAAGGAAATGCTAATAGTGGTTGAAGTAGAAAACGCAGTGGATTTGCGGAAGAATGAAACTCAGAGAGGGGAGTGGGGGGGTGGGATGGGGGAGTGTGAGAGATGGAATGGTTGTGGAGTTTGCTTTTAAACCTGATCCTGTGATCTCTTAGTCACATGAATAGATGCTTGTTGACTTGCTCCCAAGACAGACATTTGAGGTTTGAGTCTTTATTTTATATCCAAAGGAAAACTGTTATTAAAGAATATGTCTATCTGGTTTTGATGCTCTGGCAAGCCATTTTCTCCTAATTCGTTTTGAGAGGTGTTTGATAGAAGAGAGCTTCTTGGCAGCTCTCCGATCTTAATAGCTTCTCAGAAAATGCATTGATTGGCCCTTTTGTTTTCAAAAGATTGCTGTAATTTTCAGTCATTATCTATAAGGAAATCAGTGTAATTTATTAAAACAGCATCATGGATTAAGAATTAAAGACCCGATTCTTTTATCACTTAAACTGATGTTATGTTGATGTTACCCAGGAGAAACTTTAGTAAGACGAAGAGCAAGTGGGAGAAGTTCCTATGAACTCTTGTAAAACAAACTTCTGTATCTCTTTCATAAGGTCAGAATCGATTCTTGGAAATAGATTTCTACTTTTTTTGTTGCTTATACCAAGAATAAACTGCATTTCTTGGTGTTTTCATTTCTTGATAATGAAAACAGTCCAAAATTTATCATATTAAAAAAAAATCTTATAAGAATGAGCTTATGCCTCAGAAACAGAACACTTAGCTGGCACTCTGTATCCAGTGTTTGGATTGCAAATTTTGTAGAGAAAACAACTTGCCTTTAATCAGAAGAGAAAATTAATCTCTCTAGTCTCCCTGCTTTTCAGAAAAGCAAAATTTAAGCAGGGACTCTAATTGTTTGTTCCTTTTACAAGTAAGTTAGGTTAGATGCATTTCAGTGGTACTGCTTAAGTAGATTTAGTTTGCCTTTAAAACATGTCCTAGAAGCTTTACGGAATTGAAATTTGAAAGCAAGGAATAAATTACTTTCAAACATTCCATTGTGGCTTCATAAATCTGTAAGACAGTAATTATGTTTTATCAGGGTCACCTCATCTTTGTTTATTTTAATTTTATGAAGTTTTGTTTTAAAGGCCCACTGAAATAAATTACACACATAAATGCAGTTTGACTCCTATTACAGTGGGGAAAAAGAAGCAAATTGGTGGGCTAATGTTCTGATGAATTCTTTCTTGTTACGAAGTCTGTTATCAACTGCTGACTGGAGTAAATTCTGTTGATTATATGAATCAGTGAACGTTCAGGTCTTCACTGTAAGTAGACAGTACTTTAATCATAATTTATGTATGGGTTTTTTTTCATCCAGTCCCTTACTGATCTTCGGGAGTTACATTAGATTACAGTGATTCTGTGGGATGGAATTAAAAGGCCAGCTAGTACAAAAAACTTTCGATCGGTTTTAGCCAAGGACAGTAGGATAGGCCCAGTCATCAGGGTTTCAGGCACTGCACAGTCTTTGAAACCATCTACGTTTAAGTAACTGGTTGCTTACATTCTGACTTTCAAAAAAGTGAACTAATCCTGCTGCTTGGTGAAGTAGCGAATCCAGTATCTTTCACTGTAAACTCATTCAGAATTTGGGCTTGCTTTGTATTTTTTTAAGTGTTCGACTATTTTCAGAGTGTGTGATGGAGGGGTGTGAATCACTGCAATGGTTCCTACTAGGCCACATTTCTCGTTCTACCTAGCCTTCAACAAAAACAAAGCCTTTAAGTCAAAGCCCATGCTAATAAATCGTCCACCACCATCAGAAATGTATCTGTAATAGAATGGTCGGTTAAAGCTGGAAAAGCTTTTTGCAAGTATCAGGACAATAGTTACTACAGTGAACAGAGGCCTGTTCTGCCATTGTGAGCTATAGGTGGTGTCAGCTTTCGTACTGAGTAGTACAGCAAGATAAAAGGGACAAAGCCTGTGATACACAAAGGGCACATTTTGTCTCCTAATAATAGGCTTGGGACTGCCATAAACTATATAAATTATACAACAATACGGATTCTCTTTCGTTAATTTTTCTTCATCTACTTTGTGGTTGAAAACCTGGCTAAATAACTTCCTATGGCTTTGCAGCAATCCTTGTGTGTGCTCTTTGTTGTGGTAAGCCTAGTCAGCAGGAGCAGTAAAACAAACGTTTCAGGACACTGATCTAGTCTCAGTGCCTCACATAATGGGGTCTCATATAAACTAAAAGGATAGGCATAAAGATTTTTTTCATCGGTTAATTCCCTGGGATGCTGACAGCTGCCGTTTTGTTATTGCCCGTGGCTGGCACATTCATAAATACTGTCTCAAGGCTTCCTCCCTGGGTAAACTCTCCTACGCCTCAGAGGGAGAAACAGTGTAGGTATGGAACAGGATGACAGCAACTCCTGCTTAAGTATATTCAAAATACTGGGGTGTTGTTCACTGAGAGAGCATGTCCTCGTATTTTTTCTCCTAACAAATGAGACCACCAGTGGTGGTAGGGATGGTGGGGGGAGGTCAGTATGATATTTGGGAGGCCAGAATACTTGTCAGAGGACAATTCCCCTGAATGTTCTGCTTGCTAAGGTTGCACTGGTCCTTTCCAAAATTATACAAACATTTCTTAAGTAACCTAAGAGTTGATTTTCTGGAAGCACGGCTGGGTCATGGGTTAGTACTGTTATTGATGTTTCCTTTCTGGGCTTATGGAGTATAGCTGACAGAATGACAGTGTCAAGGAATAATTGAATAAATTGTGTGTATTGTGCATAGCCAAGCTTTTATTCTCTTGCCAAAACCAACTGATATTTGAATGTGACAAGGGAACAAGCCAGTAAAACTAGAATTAAGGGGCTGCTGCTGCCTCTTACTTGGGTAGCATGGCTGGCATAGCCTGTAGGGGAAGGCCCCCAACTTCTGACATAAAGCTCTGAAGTTTGCATTTACTTTGAAGCTGCTCTTGAAGATAGCAGAGGCCACAGGATATGTCTTATGAAGCACAGACAGGTAAAATTAAAATACAAGTGGATTATTTTGCTCATATTTTATCAATAAGGTCCGGATAAAGGAGCCCTGTAGTCCATGGAATGGTATTATATGCTCATGAGTTTTGCAGAATTAGGACTGAAATGTAAAAATTTGTTTCCAAAGCCAAATGTAAATTGATTCAGAAATATGGTGTTCTCTTCCTGTGCTTCTTTTTCAACTGTTGTCATCAGGCCTTTTTCTACAATAGAATTAACTTTCATTTTAGTGTATTTAAGTGTAAAACAGGAAGTCTGTATTAACAGTCTGCTTATAGAAATAGATGCACTCTGTAACAACTGATCCTATTTGGTTTTGCAGGTCAACTTCTGAATTTTGGGTCTGAAGGTACCTTCTTTCTTTCTCAGCAAAGCATGGACATCGTTGGCTTTCTGAAGTCTCAATTCATTTGCCATCTTCTGATCTGCTACATATTTATAGTGTCAGGACTGATCATTAACTTCATTCAGCTCTTTACACTTACACTTTGGCCGATCAACAAGCAACTGTTCAGGAGGATCAACTGCAGACTGGCTTACTCCATTTCAAGCCGTAAGATTTCATTTTGTTTTTTTTTTAAACTATTTTCATATTTTGTCTTGAAAAACTTGGTGGAAAAGTTCCAAAACAGATTTCAAAGTAGCCTACGTAAAGGTCATTATTGCTTCCTACAGCACTTGCATTTGTGTGAAGAGGTGTATACTTTGTTGAAATGTCTCCTGCTGGAGTGTTTTGCTCTTTCATGTTGGGATACTTGCTTGACAGGATGTTTAAGAAAGAAAATGATGTCTCATTTGGCTATCTATCATGTTCCATTAAGCCAAATGAGAAATATTGACCAAATAATAGCTGAACTTGCTGACATGCATTATCTGTAGGCTTCATGTTAACAATAACACTTTCAATCTTTTTATCATGTGTGATTTTGTTTTTGATCTTGGTTTAAGTGTTTCATGTGTGAATACTTTTTGAGACTGGGAAATAACAGTAAAAAAGGAAAAATCTTTGGTTTCATGTGCTTCTTCCTTAAGCCAGTCATAAACTCCTGTTTCTTTGAATAGGCATTTCAGACCCAGGGATGTTGTGGATGCCCCATCCCTGGATGTCTTCAAGGCCAGACTGGATGTGGCTTTGAGCAACCTGGTCTAGTGGAAGGTGTCCCTGCCCATGGCAGGGGGGTTGGAACTAGATGATCTTTAAGGTCCCTTCCAACCCAAACCATTCTATGATTCTATGATTCTATGACCCTAAGCTGCATCTGTATGTATTCAGTATACACATAGACTTAGGATGTAGAATACAGCAGGTAGCCTGCAAGCATTGAAAGAAGTGGGAGTTGCAATTATTTTTATTTTCTGGGGGAGATGGGAACATAAGCAAAGGATATTACTTGTAGAAAGACCAAATTTTTCTAACTGCTGGGAGACATGACAATTCACTGACACTTGACTAAACAGTTAATTCCAGTGGAGTGAATGGGAGCTGTATCCATTAATTTCTTCTTTGATAGTAGGAAGTTGGTAGAATCTCCCTCCACCCCTCACTAGTGGATTATCAGAGCATGTGCAGTTTTCTTGATATTATCAATCTGTTTATATATCTGTTTTTAAAGAGCTATGATTGCAGTTTCAGCACTGATTTATTATAGTGCAACCTCAGACTTCCGCATAGTTGCTATCAACATTCAGCAGAGAGCATTCTCCACAGGTGTTAAAAAATACAGTAGTGTGCCTGTGTTCAGTAGTTGGGAGTGTGCTGTTAAATGTGTCCGCCTTCCAGAGGGATTTCCCTGGGCCTTTCTGAAGCTCAAAAGTACTTTCTAAAAATGAAACTGATGAAAAGTGCATGCCTTTTGAGGCTCCCTAAAGATTGTTCCTGTGGTGTCACTGTCAATGTTGAGTGAGTTACAGATGGTTTATGATGGGAAGATAGGTCTCCAACACAGTGTTTAAGAATTGTGTTGCAGAAACACAAAAAAATGGTTTCCTTCAGGTCACCTGTTCTGATGCGAGGAACCTGAAAAGGGAAAGCATTGTTTGTATTCGTAATGAACTGCTTGAGGGAGAAATCTGCCACCTGCCTCAAATTGGAGGCCACTAACGATCATTTATCTCTCATGTGACTCATTTATCTCTCATTTGACTGATGTGCAACTATTCGGAGCATTTTTTAAAAAACATACTTTTGACTCAAATTTGAAAGCTACTTCAGCATGTATAGGCTCAAATAGATTTGGGGTGATGCTTTATTATTTCTGTA